TGCGGCATCCGCGATTGGCCACATGCACACACACGTGCACACACACACACGTGCACACACGTGCTCACGTGGACTCGTGCTCTGTCTTTGCAGTTCTGTGTGGAGCTAAACCAGCCGATGCTGCCCAACATGCGCAAGTGGAAGGGACCGCGGGGGTGCTGGAGGGCTGTCGTCGCGGAGAAGCCCTCGAGTCTGCTCCAGAAGGTACCGTCACCTGTAACCCTGGCCTCTGTTTTATTTAGACGTACGAGGCGGCTTCCGAAAGGTCATGGAAAGTGGAATTCGGGTACGCGTTCAGGGCAGACAGAGGCGCAGCAGGGCGCAGGGTCCTGCGAGGCCGAGCCACGCTGGAGGGGCCGTCATATCCAGAGACCTCCCTAAACAGTCTGGGCCCACGGCCACGTGCCGGGCTGGCTGAGGCTGGGGGAATCGCGGCTCGGGGAGTCCCTGCGGGGTGTGCTGTCCTCCTGTCTCTCACACATGGACGAAGCGAATAAACTAACGAAAGTGAAGTTACTTGGTGAGAACTCTTCACCTCTTTTCATCGCTTCCTCGTACTATACGCCTTCCGCGAACTTTTTTGAAGACTGCTCGCACTTTCTTCTAATTGAGGGCATTCTAAGTTCCCATGGCCCTGGACTCCGCCCTGTTTCTCTGCCGAATTTAAAATCTTCGCTCTTCACCGCAGTGCCCTGGTGCTGGGTTGGCATTTAGGTTGGGGGTGGCCTCCTGCCCAGTCGGACATGGGCGCTCAGGGTTGTCGGGTGGAGGGGAGCCCTGGCCCCGGCCAAGCCAGCAGGTGGGCATTTCTGCGCTTTGTTTCTGCCTTTGCCACAGCCCTGTCCCCTGCTGAGTTTGTGGAGGGCCATTATCTAGCGACCCCACGCCTCGGGTTCACCTCAGGTCACGTGTGACGCAAGTGCTTCCTACAGGAGGAATCATCCTCAGACATGTTCCGTGGAGACTCTGGGCAGATTTCCTCCTCACCGGGATTCCCCACGCGAGTGGCTGCATCGGCCTCTCTGCGTGTGTCTACCTATGAGAGCCGTGCCAGCGTGCCAGCGGGGCTGAGACGGAGAGCCTGCCCCGGCCGAGGGCTGCGCTCGGTGGCATTACAGTGACGAAGTAAAAGCCCCGGCTGCCGTAGGGAGGGAAGCCGTCGGTGCTGGGGGGCGTTCTGGCCCATTCTGGTACTAATAGCAGAAACACCCGAACTTGGGGAGTTTATGGAAATGGGTTTATTTAACTCGCAGTGAGGAGTCAGGGCCGGCAGCCTGTGAGGGTCTTGCTGGCGGATAATGTGGCAGAGGACAGGAGCTCCTTATAGACTCAGGAGGACTCCATCCTGAGGCCCCACCCCGATGCCTGGCCAATTCCCAAAGATCCCACCTTCCAACATCATAATCAGGTTCTTTCCCTCTCAATCCTCTGTAAGGATTTGCCAGACCCTGACTTGGGTTTTGGTGGGGGGCAACTTGAAGGTCACAGGAACAACCTTTCCGAAGTCCAGAGGAGCCCGCACGCCCAGCCTTGTGCCTGCAGAGCTGAGACCCAGGCGGGCAGAGACCACTTCTCACCCCTGCACCGGTGCTCCCCCAGTGGGGGACTGAGCGCACTGCACACAAAGCTCCGCCCCGCACTCCTCCCACACCCTCCTAAGCGCAGGCATCCCGCCCAGGTGAGGGGTCTGGCTCCATGTGTGCAGGCGCTGTCGCTGCTCAGGTCGGCCGTGCGGTCCCTCTCTGTCCTTTGCAGTGGGAGCATCCGCACTGGCCGGTCATGACGCGCTGAGCCCGAGACACACCCCAGCACAGGCATGAGCAGGCGTTCACACAGGCAGCACCTCTTGGGCCGGCAGCCGGGAGCACGGGTGGCCACTGGCTGCAGCGCGGAGTGCCCTGGGGAGTCGGGACAGCCCTCTGACTGCCAGAGACCAGGGGTCAGCACAGGCCCGGGCTCCGCCCCACCTACCCCCCTCGGGGCCTCTGGCCCAGGCTCGGAGGCCCGCGTGGGGCTGCTCCGCAGAGGGCCCCTGTCCAGCTCCAGACCAGCCGGCCGTTAGAGCCCTGCCCCGCCATCCCGCTGGCTTCACCACGCTCCGAGGCCGGTCCTGCTGGGCAGTGGCCAGTTGGTATGCGTGCTTTCCTGGACCTGAGCGTTGCTCTTTATGGCTGGGCTGCGGGAGCGAGGCCCTGAACTTCTGAGCAGCAGCGGCAGCTCACCTGGCGGCGTATGAGTCCCCACCTCCTGGGACGTGAGGACCCGGACGGTGACTCGGCCTTCCCTGGGCAGAGCAAGCCCAGGCAGCCCTGGCTGTGCCAGCAGCCAGACAGTGGCCACACGTGGAAGCGTCGTGGTGGCGGGACGAGGGGCACGGGAAGAGCGAGCACCCTGGTGGAGTGGTCTGGGGCCAGGGCAGAGCCCGCTCCCTCTGCTCCCCCCTCGGCACTGTGCCTGCTCAGTTCAGCCTGGCACCAACACCTGTCTCCCCTCCACTGCAGGGAGCCGGGTACTCAGGGTTCCTGTGGGACGCTGCTGGTGGCGTGGAGCTGAGAGACGCTGCCTGGCAGGAGAGCTCACCCAGCAACGGACACGGGAAGCCCACGGGGCCCAGCCCGTACCTCGCAAGGTTCAAGGTACCTGCCTGTCGCCTGCACCCCCTCTCTGGACAGGAACATGTCTGCCTGTGAAACTGCCCTTCCTGAGCTCGCTCTCTCGGGGCGGGTCAGCACCACCCTGGGCTTCCTGGGCAGGCAAGCTTGCCCAGGGCTGGGATGAAGGGGTGTCGAGGGCCTCACAGGCTGCTACCCTTCACCTGGGCAGAAGGAAGGGGGGAAGGGGCCGGGTGGCCACTCTCCAGCCGGACACACACCAGAGCCCCCAGGGAGTTCCTCAACACTGAATGGCCCTAGGCCCGCTGGACATACGGAATCCCAGGGAGGGCCAGTGCTTTGGCCATCCTCCGGCCCTCCTGGTCCTGGACAGCTGGCTGGGGACAGCTGGACCAGAGGGCCATGGAACACCCAGGAGCCCTCTCAGCCTGACCCTTTGTCACCAGATGGGGACCCTGGAGCAGTCACTTGGATTCAGAGAGGATTCAGGAGGTTATCTGGACAGCGGGCCTGGGGTGCCCCGTAACTGGATCTCTAGACAAGCCCTCCCCATGTGGGCTGTCTCCCCAGAGTCTGGAAGCAGCTGAGCCCCCAAGCCCCGCACCAGGCATGTTAATGAGCAGCAGGAGCGGGTGGAGCCAGAGCTAGAGCAGGTCACCAGCCTGGCAGTCACAGCCCTGTGCCCGTGGCACTGCGTGGGAGTGGCCCTGCCACCAGCCCAGCGAGCCCGTCACTGCTGGGCAGCAGAGACACGCCCACCCACCACGTTGAGGGTCCACCATTCCGCAGTCCAGCCACCTCAAATCTCGGCAGGTTCTCTCTGGCATGGGACGGTGTGGGATGGGGACAGCCCCTGGTTGGAGTCTGCAGCCCACAGTGTCTCGGCCTTGCGGCAGTGGGCGGCGGGCGTGCACGCACACCGCATGCCTGTTGTACCTGGATCCCTGCACCTGTCTGCACACGGCGCTGGGGCGTCTGTCAGCCAGTGTCGTCCGCCAGACCTCCTGGCACCACACCGGGTCCCTTTCTATGACAAGTGGCTGTCCTGTCTTGGGGGAGCAGGACTACAGCCAGAACAGCCAGTGTCCCAAAAGCGGCAGGTTCAGGAGTGACAGCCTGAGTCCTCTAAAGCCACCCCCCAGCCTGCTCTGTGTCACGTTCCAGGCCCAGCAGGTGTCACAGTGGCTTCCCTCTCAGGCGGTGGCCCAACCGGCTCAGGGCGGTTCCCCAGGGTCAGAGCCCTGGGTCTGGGAGCAGCGAGAGTGAAGGGCCCTGGCCGACACTTCCTGGGGCTCCCCACACCATTCCCTGCGGCCCTCTGCTTTGGTTGCCATGGCGGATGGACGGAAGGGCAGGATTGCCACACACTGAGCAACAGCGCTGTGGCAGCACCACCCTCCCGTTCACACCCCCATGCTGGGGCCTGCCCAGGACCCGCCTGTGGACACAGGACTGGGGCGGGTCCTGGCTGCCTGGGAGCTTCCCTCATGAACTTTTGGCACTCCTGACACCAGAGCTGCAAGTCCACGTTAATGCCTGCTAACAAGCTGCCCCCCGTGGGCTTGCTTAGGAGTGAAAGAGCGCTCCGCTCCGGACAGGCCAGCTCTCCAGGCCCTAGTGAGGGCGTGCAGGGGCCTTGTTCCTGCAGGTGCCTGGGAAAGAGCTAAGATGGAGCCCCTCGCAGGGCCTGCTGGGGCGGGGGTGGCCTCGTTTTGAGCGTGAAAGGTCTTGTTAGCGAATTCCGGATGCAGGAGCACCAAAGCCTGTCCCTGGCGCTTTGTCCCCTGCTGCCCAGGTGGGGAGCAACGACCTGATCCTCGTGAACCTTCACCTGGCAGCCCTGGCCCTCCCAGGGGGCGAGAACCCCAGCAAGAACCACAGCGACGGCCACCGCTTGGCCCAGACCCTGCAGGAGACGCTGAAAGGTAGGGCACTGCCCCCCGCTCAGCATAGCCGGCGCTTCCGCTTGGGCAGCAGCCTTCTCCAAGCGCCTCTCTGGCTGGCTAGAC